ACTCACAGTTATACCAAACCACAGGGCTCCTCTGAAGGGCTGATGCAATTAGCTCGCGATAGCATCGGCCGGAGGAGCGAGCTATAACACATTTCACAGAAGGCGTATGCTGGGTATGCTTTATGGAACGCAGGCTCAGGTACGTGATGGGTATCTGACTCCCCAGAGCTGGAAAGCATTGAAGAGCTTTCTAACGATGACCTTCGGGGAAGACATGGGCCTGGCTCTTTAATTCCTTGTATCTGCCTTGAGAAAGCAGCACCCAGGATTCAAGTGACCGTTTGAAAATCCTGCAATGCTCCAGGCGGTCTCATGGTCAGCAGGACAAGTGACATAGTAGTTTCTAACCAGACAGATGCTCTTTTAGAACCAATTTTTCTCTCTGCCAAATGCGGATGGCTACTGCTAAGGAAATAGTCATCCATGCACGGCTAAAGGCCACCAAACAGCAATTCCAGCCAGCATCTGGTATTCTGCTAAAATCATGGGCTTTATAATTTCTTAAATTTTGTCCCTCGTTACTCCTCTACCTGAAAGCCTTCAACAAAGGCTCAAAAACACATCAATAACTGTGCATCTCCCTTCCAGCGCCGACAGACTGTGCACCAGCCTCCTCCATCACAAAAGCGGCCCTCTCCCCACTGCCCACTGGAGGAATCTGTGCAGAGGAAAAGCTAGCCAGGTCTCCATAAAGCACAGGTTAAAAAGCCTCTTTTGCCCTTAACACTGCTTTGGGAACCTGCTGCTTTTCCTTCCCTTCGCTGAGAACATGAGAAAAAGACGGTTCCGGATCCACTTGATTACACCTTTCCGCTGCCTCCCATCGTCAAAACCCGATGCAGACCCAGAAGAGGATGCTTTCCAGTCACTGTGCATGAGGGCACCTTTTAACGCACCCATTCAGTGTCTGCACAACCTCTCTGAGGAAAACTGTGAAGAGGCAAGAGCCAAAGAAAAGTTGCAGGAAAAGGTTGAATGCACTGGGTTGTGGTTACCTAAACAGCTAATAAATTTCCAGATTACCCGACTTGTTCCTTAGGCTGGCTGGGCTTCTGAGTTCTTCTGTTTGGTTTTCCACTTGAACTAACTGTCCTATCTTCTACCAGGGCTGCAGCCACCAGCAAGGGCATTCAGGAGCAAGGACCCCCTGAAAATCTATGTAGCATCATCCAAGGCCAGGCTTGCCCTTGCTGGAGCCAAGAGGGAGGGAAAGAGGGGGGCCAGGAGACACCCCCACAGTCTGCGAACATCGATTCGAATCCTAAATCGGCCACGGCCACGGTGGGCGCTTCGATGTGTGTCCACAGCAGCTTAGCTTTCTCTCTTTCAGCAATGGAATTGTCTCTGGCCACCAACACTTACCACCTGCGAGTCCTAACAGCTGAAGGAAATCTCATTCAAAATAACCTGCCAAGGGCAGCAGTTGTGGCTTTGGGAGCCAAGGATAAGGCTCCTGGGTACCACAGCACCACCATCCTCAGACCTCTGCTACCCTGTCACTCCAGATGAGTTCCCTGGATCTGCTTTTCCTGCCGTATCGCTGTAGGCAGGGGGAAACACTATCCCTGAGGACAGCCAGGGTGAGTGATTGAAGAGAAAGGGACATAAAAGAGCCTTGGACCTGGGGAAAACACTACACATTTAGATAAACTGAGGTTTTTAGGGGTGCAGAGAATACGCTGACTCCACATCCTGAAAGGCCAGGCCTTTTAAAGGGTGAATGTAACCATCATGGTTTGATGATGCTCAGATCAACCAGCAGATATTTCCTGGGCAGCTCCGATGAGCTGCAACCTGGGCCCTGTGCTGCGGGTGAGAAGGCACAGAGCAGGGTGAGGAAGCAGACTCGGTCGTTAGGAAACCTCAGGGTGCGAGAGAGAGAGATCTGCGGTGAGTTTCTTGGGCTCAGCATCTCCAGCAATTCTGACTCATCCAGCCTGGCGCTGCTGAATCTGCAGCTTCAATCCATGCAGCCAGGTGACTCTGTCAGGAGGCCCGGGAGCCGGACTACTTGGGAGAGACATGGACTATGATCTGACTCCTGCCCTCAAGCAGCCTGCAACCAGGTGGCGTGAGGACAACCACCGAAAAGCAAGACAGAGCTGCACCCTCGTTTGTGATGCGAGCTCTACCTGCTACGGGAGTTCACAAGGAAGGGTGGGCAGTAAAGCCGTGAGCATTCAGGAAAGACTTTGTGAAGGAGCGTCAGGCTTAGGGGTCAGGCAGAACTTGGAGAGGAAGGGACAGCCCATGCAAACATCTTAACCCAGTGGTCTGCAAACTCATTAGTTAACAGAGCCAAATATTAACAGTACAACGATTAAAATTTCTTTTGAAAGCCAAATGTTTTAAATTTAAACTTCTCCTAACGCCACTTTTTCAAAATAGACTCGCCCAGGCCTTGGTATTTTGTAGAAGAGCCACACTCAAGGGGCCAAAGAGCCACATGTGGCTCGCGAGACGCAGTTTGCCGACCACAGTCTTAACCAAACCTCCTGCTTCAGCCTGCCACGGTGGCCACACCTGCGGCCTACATAAAGCTAGCCTGGGATAGAAGACACTGCTGAACAGGTAGAGAAGCTTCTGATGTTGACTGCAGGGAGGACAGTGTCAATAGAAGAATTATAAAACTGGCATTCCAGATAACACAGTTTGCAATTTTATTCTGTGGCCTTCATGTGGTATCCTGCACTTCATAATTTAACATTTGTAAGAGAAAAAAAATGCCATTATGAAACCCAAATAATGTACCACTCTGAGGCAGCCACCTGCTAACAAGTGACATCTGAGCCATCAATATAAAACAAAGGTTGGGGGTCTATGGGGTTCAAGGACTGGCAGGTAACCCATAACATGGCGAGAGCAAACACAGAAGGAAACAGATTCCAACCAAAAAGGACAATCATTCAACACGAGCCTATCACATGTTTTCAAATATGATATTCACTTAACACTGTGCTGCCAGGAATGAATTATTAACCACAGACAGTGCAAGGCCTGCTTGACCCAAGGGCTGACTCACAAGATCGGTGCCAGAGGCAGAGGGGTCCCCATGCCTGATCCTTTCCTCCACATGGTTGATCTTAGAGCCCCTCTGCAGAGATGACCCACTAGGGCAGTGGTCGGCAAACTGCGGCTCGAGAGCCACATGCGGCTCTTTGGTCTTTTGAGTGTGGCTCTTCCACAAAATACCACATATCCTAATTAAGCTAATAACAATGTACCTACCTATATAGTTTAATTTTTTAAAAATTTGGCTCTCAAAAGAAATTCCAATCGTACTGTTGATATTTGGCTCTATTGACTAATGAGTTTGCCAACCACTGAACTAGGGTCATCTGTAAATTCTGTTGAGCAAAAATCCAAATAGCAATTCCAGCCAGCATCTGGTATTTTACTAAAATCATGTGCTTTAGAAATTTCTTTAATTTTTCCCTCGTTACTGTAAATTCTGTGGATCAAAAATCAATCAAACACTATAATTATTCAGCCGAAACCGGTTTGGCTCAGTGGATAGAGCGTCGGCCTGTGGACTGAAAGGTCCCAAGTTCAATTCCAGTCGAGATACACCCCCAGTGGGGAGTGTAGTGTGTAAGAGGCAGATGATCGATGTTTCTCTCTCATCAATGTTTCTAACTCTCTATCCCTCTCTCTTCCTCTCTGTAAAAAAATCAATAAAATATATATTTTTAAAAACAATATAATTATTCAATTAACTTCACTAGGGTGGACTGTTGAATTTTAAATTTGCATAAGACTATGGTGATCCCGGGAGGCATATCCTCCTGTTATAAGGTGACTCACTCTAAAAAGATGAGTAAGTTGTCCGAGGTCACTAAAATAGGTGGGCAGAACTGGGCTTCCACCTAAAGACTCCGTTTCCAAAAAATAAAATGAGCTAGGCTGCCAAATCTTTCTTGGAAGTCCACATTATTTTGGTATGTGGTTTGAAATTGTTCAGAGTGTTTAAATTTCACTCCAGAATAAGACTGTCATTCAGGGTACTGTGTTTAGTTAAAAGGTGCTCAATAAACATTTGTTGAGCAGGATTTGGAAACTCCCAATGCTTCTCATCTTTGCCCATCCCAATACTTCATTACAGGGTCACAAACTTGCCATCAAACTGAATCTGAGGTCTCTTGTATGATGAATACCGTATGCCAGTGCTTCCCAATCTTTTCAGCCATGCCCCATCTAAGCATCTCTAAAATCCTGATGCCCCCTTTGTGACATATAATTCTTATTATTCAAAAAGTGAACTTCTATTCATGTGGAGGAAGCCTAAAAGGCCATTAACTTGGTGTTAACATTCTTCCAAAAACATGACATCCATGAAAGAGAAAAATAAAAGAACAAAAGGACAGCTGAAGTATTGAAGAAGAAATCACTAAGAAACTGTTTTAAAATATTAATATGAAGTGATATAAAAATACCAAATAAAGTTACAAAACATATAAGAGAACTGAAATGTATAAATATGTCACAATATATATTTATATACTGTAAATGATGCTCCTAGAACCATAGAAATGTAAAAAAATTCAGTTAATAACTCATTCTCAAATTGCCCCCCTTAAAAGTCAAATTGTGCCCCCCATCCCCATGGGCATGTGCCCCACATTGGGAACCACTGCCTATGCTCTCAGATAAAATGAAGTATCTGAAAATGTAGTTATTTTGTTTGGGGTGTGTGTGTGTTTAGTTGTTCACATTTTCTCTCTCTCTCTCTCTTTCTCTCCCTCTCTCTCTCTTTCTCTCTCTCTCTTTTTGATCTTTTTCTAATGACAAATGTATTCTACTCAGATCCTATTATTCTGCACATGGGAGAAACTAACACAACTAAGTCAATTTCATTGCTCTCCTTCAATAGAACAAAGCTTTCGCAAACATCCTGTGGCTTGGGCTGTAGAGAAATAGCCATGCACTTGAATAAGATGTCCTGGGACACCAAATAAATGGTGACTGATGAAATTTAAGACCAAGGCTTTCAGATGACTTACCCAAAACCACTTGTGTTTCAAGACCATTCGTGCATGCTGAAGTCCACACTTTCTCTCTTGCTCATGGTCCGGAGCAGCACTAATTTGGAGGTCTCAAAATAAACTCTCTCATTTTGCTCCAATATGCTGCAATAAGACAAAACAAAACACCAGCTCAGAATGAGAATGTCACTTGAAGCAGTCAGTAGCTATTCAGGGGGAAATCCCTAGCTTTTGTGAGATGTATATTTTATAACCTCAACCAAGCATATTAATTACCAGGATGAAGCTATCGGGCAACTGATCTATCAATACATCTGGTACCCTAAAATTCTGGTTGGGGGGAGAGCAGAAAAGAAGAAACAAAGCACTCTCTGGGTAGGTACTGAAAATTATAATATACACCAGTGGGAATGTGCCTGCAAAATTTCAAGTTTACTAATTGAAATAAATAAATAAAGGATTCCTTATGTTTAAATAATTAAAGATACTAAAATACAGTTTGTTAAGAATAGAGAGTGGAGAGAGTTTTGTTTCAAATTAAAATCCACCTGATTCTGCCCATTAAACTCAGACTGAGTGAAATACTATGAATATTTTTAAATAAAGGGCTAATGGGATTGAACAAAACAAAGAATAAGAGAGAAGAAATTTTCCATTGCAAACAAGAAATTAATGTTTTCATTCTGACTCTTGAAAAATCTTGATCAAGACCTTCTCCACCCAAGTTGGAAAGCAGCATGTACTTGACACACTGAATATGAAATGAACGGTTAAAATATGCATGCCTCTTTACCCCACTCAGAGCAGCTGGCAGAGCCTACGCCTTCGAACTGTGTGTGTGTGTGACAAGGTCGCTCTGAAAAGTTCTCTTCTGCCTGAGAGTTTCAAAAACGCTCACTTGTCACAGGGCGTTGTTCTAGCTCCAGATGCTTAGTCAAATCCACCCCACTGTTTGTTTTTTGACAAAGCCCGTTTGAGCTCTTGGAAGCTGTCCTCAAAAGATGTGTGCATCCTTTTTCAGCCTTCTATGAGCTCTTTCTCGGCTGTTCTGAAAGTCCGTTGGCTGTCCCCCAGTTCTCTAACTCCCTGATTGCTTCCTATTGTACGTCTACACTCTACGCATCTCCAAAGGTCCCTGGGCAATCACCAAGACCTCACCATCAAACAGCCTAGCGGTGAAGCTGGTATACTTTTATGCCTCTCCAGACTGCTGTATGCAAAATGAGTTCCTTGAAAGACTTGTGAAGCTACCGCTTTATAGAACACTCAACATGTTTGAAAGGGACTTCGGGGGGTTGTATATAACTGTGGTTAAGTGCATGGAGGCACTTAAAACTTTGGAGGAGGAGGAGAACGCGGCTCTTGGTTAATGTTTAAACAAGTGCGTGGAGAATAAGACCGTTATATTTTCAGTCTACTGGGAGGAGCGCCTGCCTGACAGGACAGTCTTTCTTTCTTGTCTCGGTTCTATCAATTCTCAGCGAAGGTGGGGTCCTAATGATTGGATTTGTTTCCTGAGCACTTTTTGTGAAATGTAATCAGCTCCCACTCAAAAGTGTAATAGGAACACATTGATAGGAATCAACATAAGCCAGGAAGTTCAAAGAATGACAAACTGTCTTTAGTTTACAGTTTTGGTAAAAACAGAATTTGGAGAGAAGAGGAGGATTTAAAGCAAGCCCACTGCCAGTTATTGTCTGATATCAATCTTGTTTTACTGAAAATAAACTGTTGCCTTTCTCTTATATGTTACCAGGTCTGTATCTTGGTATTCTAGAATAGAAAGTGTCTTTGCCATCTAGTTCAAAATTCTTCGGCAAATAAAGTTGCTGGCCCTCTTAGAGTCACACAGCAAGTTAATTTGTGCCTTGACTAGACTAGGGGTTTAACTGCTCATGCCCATTGATTCTTACTGGACATAAGGTTGTTGAACAGAATGGAATGTGGTGTTGGTTTGAAAAGTTTATCATAAGCACAACACCTTTTCATGGTATTGAAAACACACACTCTCTCTTTTTCTGTTTTGTTTTTGCCCTAAAGAAAGAAATTCATTTTGGGATTATATTCTTGTCACCAAGTAGAGCAAAATCTAACTTGGAGAAGCAGAACAGCTCCATTATTAGCTCAGGGCCCTCCACTGGCTGCCAAAGTCTGATGCCCAGAGGCTTATACTATTTGTAGAAGAGAAAGAAGAAAAAAAAAAGGACCATCTCAATGACAAGATTTTCCATTCTTATCCCTGTCAAGGTGAAGGAGTTGGAAGTGATTTATTTTGTGATTTATAGCTGACCCTCAATTACACATAGTCCCACAAGAACGAGACGATTTTTATCCAAAGAAAACCCACGGAAAATTCTGCACACCTCATTTTAAGCAGAGGTTCAATACACTTCCCTTCTTCAGCAAACTTTTCAGCAGTCTGCTAATCACCAACAAAACAAAATGCTTGCCTTTCCTCTCCTTTGCCCTCCCATTCTTGTTTGCCAGGTGACGTTATAAATAGAGATAAGACCAAAAGTCTAGAAAGGAGGAAAGAGATAAGACCAAAAGTCTAGAAAGGAGGAAAGAACAACGGGGCCTGGAGCATTCACAGATATGCCTGAGCATTGAGAGTCTCTGTATAAACAAGCTTTCACTGCAGAAAGTATTCCCCTCTCTAGTTCATACAGACAATGGCCCTTGTGCATTTTCCCCCAACTTCTTAACCTGCCACAGAGCTCCACAATTTTTCTGTTTTTGATTTCCCAAATATACCACAATCTATACTCAACTGTCAAAAAAGTTGGAATAAAGCTTGGACGGCATGGCTCAGTGGTTGAGCGTCAACCTATAAACCAGGAGGTCACAGTTCGATTTTGGGTCAGGGGACATGCCTGGGTTGTGGGCTGGATCCCCAGGGTGGGGCGTGCAGGCGGCATCCAATCAACGATTATCTCTCAACATTGTGCTTCTATCTCTCTCCCCCTCTCCCTTCCTCTCTGAAATCAATAAAAAAAATATATTTTTTTAAAAAATGGAAAAGTGGTCTCTTGCTGTGTGAAAAGTAAAAGCATGGTCCTTTCATTTCAGGCTGGTTAATCTGGCTAATTTAACTCTGAGAGATTCTCTGAGAGTGCAGTCTGCAAATGCTCCAATAGGTATTGCTAAAGGTTGAGTGTCCTTTGGCACACATCAAGAGTTCTCCCTAAAATTACTCAGTGGTTTTTTAAAAAACAAGATATTGAATAAGACGGCCACATAATTCAAAAAATTCAAAAATTTGTTTGAATTTTTGAAGTGATAAAGGAAAATTTTATAAGCATTTCTGTGATAATTTTCTGAACAGTTATAAGCAGAAGCAGCAGCAGAGTTGCAATGGAAAGTCACTAAGGGCTTAAACAATATTAACTTTTTAAGTAAGTTTTAATATAAGTTTTTAAGCAAGGCCAAAACATAAAAAAGCTCTTGAACTATACACAGTACAATGGCTATTGTCCCCTTAATTATTATCACAAATCAAGACTTTCCCATTCTTGGCCTGACAGACGCATGCAGCACAGAAAGCGAAAGAAATGATCTCCACGCTTCTACCTCGAGACAGATTTAGAATGGCATTGTTGTCAGAAAGGAACTTGCTGGTTGCTTTATCACCCTGTTTTGTGGAAGGGGAATGCCAGCACTTAGCCGGCAGGAGCATGTTCTTCATTCTGTGGGATACTTTTCCCTTAACTGTTAGCATTGCGCCCATAACCAATGGAAACCAAAGGACTGGAAAGAAAATATCATGAAAATACAACAAAATTCACTGCCATTTGTAAATCCTTCTGTTCCAAAATTGACCGTGTTTTATAGAGGCATGTGATGCATCATAAACGGTACTTTTTGCCATTTAAAAATACCAAACAGTAGTAATAGCTCCACCGCTAGGCTGCCAGGACTTAACCTGCAATTTGGGCAATCAGTGTGGGACGGGATCACTTTGTTTTATGACACAGGAGCAGATGCTACTAATTAACACACAGAAATATCCAAAACAGGGTTTTTAAAACATATGAGTTTGGAAACATAAGTGGAAACAGCTTTGAAGGCTATAAGCAAAATAGTATAATAGGATGAAATATGAGTGGTTTTCTTTTTTAAAAAGAGAATTGGGTTAGCTGGTAAACTTTTATGGGCCACCCTCTTAATAAAGGATTTGAAGAGAAGTACCTGCTAAATCTTGCTTTTTATTTTTGAAAAACAGAGAGAATAGCATATATCATATATTAGCCAGTGTGTTCTATTGGATGCTATAGTCCACTGTAAAACATTACATTATGCCAAAGATTTTTTTTTTTAAAAAAAAAGAGGATTAAAAAGGTTGAAATAAATTTGGGAAACACTTTTGAAGGCTGTTGATGTATTGGTATGTATTGCAAATCTCTAAGAGGGAAGAAAGTATGCATTTTGACCCATTTATATTTATAATAACTCATTTAGTATAAATAATAATTATTTAACTGCATGTTACATAAAATAGCATATCTTTATGGAAAAATGACAACATTCTTCAAAACAGAAAAGTTAGTGAGAAGGATGATACTAATTTACATTTCTGCTAATGTCTTTCATGTCTGTCTTAACAGAAAACAATAAAATTCTCAAATGTGTCTCTAAATTCAATTTGCTATGATATGCTATTTGAAATACAGGGGGAAAATGGGCCTTCATTTTGAGCTAATTGTGGAAATTATTTCATATTACACTGATACTTGACAAGTGGTAGTTTCTTAAAGGATAGGGCAATTTGGGATCTGAAACATTTCAATGGGCTCCTTGTAATCTTTTATATTAAAATTCATTGGTTCATCTTGCACTTAGGACAGACTTTTTACCATGCAGGATTTTGTCACACCAGGCATGGATCACCTGGAAAATAAGACCAGTTCACTGAGGTATGCAGGTCTTTCAAATGGACACATTTCATTCACATCATCACGCATCATTTTGCCTCTGAAAAACTCCACCATACCCTTGTAAGAGAATAGGAATAAATAGGTAAATAATGTTTGAGTACTGTTATAACAATGGTTTTCACCTTGCAGAGCACCTCTCACAGGTCCCAAACGTCTTCCAGGTTCTCAGAATGACAACTGCTGACTGACTAGACCGTCTAAGCTCTACAG